TCCGTGAGCGCGGCTGCCTTGGGCCGTTGAAAGGTGCCCGCCTGCCTTGTCTTCGAGGAACTGCCAGGGAGCAAACGCACGACCTCGCTTTCCAAATCTGCATGCACGTTTGAAGGGAGACTTAAGAGTTTATTTCCAGGGTCTTTTCCTCAACTGAAAACTTTGAACAAAAATATTTTATTTTTTTTTGGGGGGGGGCGTTATTTACCAAGATCAGGTTGTGGATTTGCTTTTTCGGGTTTTTAGAGAGAGCTTTTCAGATATAAGTTTATTAAACTTCCTTTGCTTAGTTTGGATGACAAGGAAACCTTGTACTAGTTTTCTTGACAATATTTTAAAAAATGAAAAAGTGGTTACTTCGAAAGCTTTTGGAATTCAAATATTTTGTAAACTGTCACTTTTTGAGGAAGAAAGCTGAGAATCTCTTTAATCCTTTTATGAATGCAGGTTTGCTTATCTGGATGTTCTTACGGAACTGTTTCAGAGATGTGTTTAAGCTTTTTTTTGTATGTTTTCTTTTTCAGCTTTGGTTTTAATTCGGTTGATATTATTATTTTTCATGAGCAAAAAGAGACTGAATGCGTTTGTCCGGCATTGGGTTTGCAGAGCTCCGCGCGCGAGGAGCAGGGCTTGGGTCCTCGGGCGTCTGCTGTGACAGCAGGAAAGAGAGTATTTGGCGATAAGCTGTCTGATGTATAATGAAACGTTCTCTTACGACTTTTGTATCTATTAATATATTAGATCCTGGTCCTTGTCCTAGTGAAGCGAATGCAAATTTAATTAGGTTTTGAGAATTACCATCGTATATGAACGATGACTCTGTGGAAGTTGTTGTCTACTTTGAAAATCACGCTTCATGAGCAAAATCCTGGCTGTAGCGAAGAGGATTCGGGAGGTGTCTGTCAGATATTCATTTTCCTCTTCAGTGTATTGTTGATTAGTTCAACTGTCTTGAAAGTGTCGAAGAGACAAATTAGAAGACAGGAATGATAGCTCACCCTGACATATTGTCAGTCTTACCAGGTCTTGTGATTTAACTACAAGACCTAAATTGTAATCAACTCTTTTGGAATACGGTTGGTGTTTGGGGGGGGGGGGAGTGAGACCTATAGGAAACCTACAGATTAAGTACCTGAAATGAAATAGTCTGTGGTGCATCTTTTTTAGTTTAATGCTAAGCCAATTTTGTGACTTGTGACTCAAACTAGCATTGTCTTTAAGTTTTCAGGTTTTTTTAAGGTTGTTACAATATTAATTATTTTTACTCATTTTTATTTCAAAAGCTTGTGTATTTTATTTATAGAAAATATTTCAGTAATTAATATGAAAAAATAATTTACTGTTACAGTTAAAGAATTCGGAATAATAGAGGGTGAACCTACATTGATTTCTTCAGGGAAGTAAGTGGAAATCATTGTTGCCTAAAATTATAGGGTAGTAGGAAAAAATAAGTCTATCTACCTTTCAGAAGGCATGCTCACTGGGTTTGAAATCATACCCCACGTTATTGCAATCTAGTTCAATGTTTCTGCTAATATTTCCAAATATGAGATTGGTTTTGTGAATTTTTTAACAAACTTAATTGAAAAAAATATTGCAGTCACATCGAAGTTCGCTTGCCCTGCGCTTTTGCTATCTCTTGATTACTTGGATTGTCTTATTCAATTGATGTTACTGACACCAAATTTAACATACATTTTAAGAACGTTCTACGCTTATCCTTACAGCATCTCTTTCCCCTTTTATTTTCTCCATAGATACTACAACATATTCCACTGAGCGATCTGAGCACTTTAAGCCATGCAAAGACAAGGATCTTGCATATTGTCTCAATGAAGGGGAATGCTTTGTGATTGAAACCTTAACAGGATCACATAAACACTGCCGGTAAGTCACTTGCTTGAAAAAAAAACAAAACAAAACTTCTATCCAAGCGTACAGTATTAGGAGAATAAACCTTCAGACCTAGAATTTAACGTGCATAAAGCAATGGAATTTGCACTAGATAGTGATAAGTGTTTTCATGTTGCTGTGGGTGTGTTTTTGTTTTTTTGTGTGTTTTTTTTGCCTAATCTGTAATATTTGTAAATACAAACATATAAATGCAGACAGCAAGATTTTGATTGCTTTTTTAGATAAGACTAACCTTCAGTAATCTATTTTTAATTCATATAAGCAAGTGTTAATGTTTTTTGTTTTTTTTACCTACTCAAATCCTAAGTTCCTTTAGTTGTTCAAATGAGTCCTTTATTTTGGTACCTGAAGTAATGTTTTGACAATAGTTTTATGCACTGTTTGTTGAGGAAGGGGAAGAGTTGTTCTTTTAGTTCTAAGAATTAGGGTTTCTTATGTTAAATTACTGAAAGATAAAATGGACTGTCAGTCATCTGAGCCTGCTATATACATGTTGCGCAGTTTTATAGTACTGTACTTCTGTTGCTAATGTCTATTAGTATATTAAATGCATATGTTTTAAGAAATCAGAAAAGAAAACCAGTTTGCGAAATATAATTGTTCTTCATGTAGCAACCAATAAGAAGGGTTGACATCCAGAAGAAGTACTTTAATATCTTCCTCAAGAGGAGAAGAAGAAAAGATTCTGAAACATTTAAATAATCTTTTAATAGAAGTGGTCCAAAATGAGCTCCAGCAATTCAAATGACTTATTCTACTTCTAAGTTTCTAAGATGTATTTGGCATGCAGCATGTATGTTTAAGATGCTTATATGCATGAGTTCCAAACTGAGCATCGTAATACATAGATATAGCTGATAAAAATAATAGATAGCACCTAGGATACTTGGAAGCTTTCCTGAATTATTTGGGACTTAAATTGCTAAATCCCAATGAAAGTTCAGCAATTAGTAAAATTGTCACAAAATCATATGTGCCTGGTTTGGAAGTTGAAATTGTTGTTTTGAAGACTGATACAAATCTGATTATCAGAAGGATATTCCCAAGATTTTTAGTTTTAATATTACATTACTAATTTTTTCCCATTCAATTTTATATACTTCAGTAATCATTCATTTCTTCCTTTGTTTACTGTTCTTTTATGGAATGCTTATTAAATTAATTATTCTGAGTCATTAGTTGTGGAAATGGATGACGTTTTCCCACTAAATCCATTGTAAAACTATAGGTACTGTTTTCTCCGATTTTTCTGTCTAATTTTTCATTATTTCTTAGAGGTGTCATAAACTATTAACAAGGGTATTATATTATTCAAATATTGGAGCATTTTCCATAGTCAGAAAATTTAGACTAGACAAAACTGATACAAATTAGTGTCAGTGGGGGAAACAAATATGATAATTGTTAATTAGACCGGTAGGTCTTTTTCTGTAAGCAAATTTGTTTGTGCAGATTGTTTTAGTAAGCTCTATGGATTAGACTACTAAACATCCAAAGGACTAAATCTCCTAAGAGAGCTGCCTTTTTTTTTCTTTTTTTTTCTTTTTTTTTTTTTTTTTGACTTTCAAGCTCTTTCACGTGGTCTAATGTGGTTCTAATGCTGCGTTCTGACTAAAGACAAGAAGCTTTTCCATCCAAGCTCTTCTCCATAACTGAATGTTCTGGCTTACTTAGTTTTCATTTTTCCTGTGAAATTTTAAAGTGAAATTTTTCAACATCATCTCTTGTGGTGTTCTTCCACAGGGAAGTATGATTATCGTTTGTGAAGCTGTTAGCTCCTGTGTGTTACAGACTTGCATCACTTGTACAAGTTTTGGGCATCGGCACGCTCTCTGGGAATTAAATACTCGTTTATTTCAGTTGGCACTTTGAAGTGAGGAAATCTGAAAGATGTGTATATGGCAATAAAAATTTCTATAGCAAGAGAAGATACATATTTTTATTAAAATTTAAAATGTGGTTAGTTATGCTTTCAATTCTAAAAGGACCTTAACACTTAACACTAAGCAGCAACTCTTTCTGAATCATTTTATGATGCTGATATGTATATTATTAATTACTTTTAGTGTTTTATTTATTACATAGAATCAGATTATCTTGATGTCCAATTTGAAGGGTAACCCTTTACTGTGACCTTCAAATTCTGGATCTAGGATTCACATTTCTGCTCACTAACATGTCTATTTCTTGGGACCAGTGCTGTGATGAGTGGAACACAGCTGGTTTTCTATCTATAGCTTAGAACCGTGCTCTGAAATAACAGCTAGAGTGTAGACATATTGAAAAATACAGCATTGATGTACAGCACTTGTCCTCTCACTAGGAAAAAAGTAATCTTCCCTGAAAATGAAAGGGTTATGGAATTCCCATTGCAATTAAAGGAATAGTTTGACTACAGAATTATGAAGACTTAGAGTGTGAAATGATACTTTGTTCTTAGAATCAAGCTGCATTGTATACTCTCATTAGGAGTTTGATTTTTGCATCTGTTCTGGGAACAGAGCACCAATTTACTGAAATGGGAATTTGCCGTGCAGAACAGCTGCAGACAGGAGACCTTGATGTAGCAAAAAGTTTGCGTCCTACTTTGTCAGGTTTAAAGAGCTTTAGCAGATGATATGCTTAGATGGTGGTGCAATATCCTTGTGTACGTGTGTAAGGATACATATGCAAGCTATTGTTAAAGCAAAAATAAATATTTGGGTGAGATCCTGGACCTCTCCTGTATCCTCATGAACAGTATTACCAGTACAAACTGGATAGTAATAAGACGATCTCAACTGGCAGTTCAGGCACCTTTCATAGTTGACAGAATTCATCATGCTCTTGTTGGATTACAGAAGGAGGTAAGCGCGCGTTGAACTCCAGCAGTGCCTAATGATGTTGGTAGCTGGCTCTGTAACTTTTTATCATGAGATACATTCCTTGTCTAGTGGGAGAACCTGTAACTTTCCAGAGCCGCACCAGTATGTGTCCTTGGTGAAGGGCAGAAAGGAGGTTTTGCTGCAGGAGACCACTGGGAAGAGAGCACATGAGGAAACCTGAGGCAGCCCTCCTCATGTATGTTCCATTCTTGCCCGCCTCAACGGAGTTGTCTTGAAGTGATGAGATGTTTTAGCTTAGATGGCAACTGGAGAAAGAATGTAGAAATTGGAATAGTTTTCAAAATCTATAATGCTATGTTTATTTGAATTTGTAATTTTGTTCCATGACTCTTGATGGAAATTTCTATAGTGATTAAACTAAGAGATCTCCAGCATGGTCATGTAATGAAGAAAATACCCAGGGTGCTGTTTGTGCTATTTTAAATGTGTGACTTCAATATTTATTTTTGTGAATGGTTTTGACACTAGCTTGTTTAAGAATAGAATAGGTCAGCAGTAGGGAAACTTCATATTTAGTTTCTCCATATGCTGAAGTTTCTTTTTTGAACAGGATTGCCTTCTTGAATTGAGAACATAAGCTGAATGGTGAGGGCACTTGATTTGTCGTGAATAACCAAAAAAAGTTTGCACTCAGTACCGACATACTAGCATTTAACCAGATATTACCCAATGCAGTATTTACAAAAAAGTTGTGGTTTTGTCTATGTACAATTTTATTTCACAGACTATAACTCAAGCCATTCCGATTTTTGAGTTAATCCTTCTGTCACTTTTTCTGCTTAGTCCTTTTATTCTCTCCTGATTACTCATTTAGGCTGGATGAATGAGTGGCTGAAACTTAGAAAGGAGAAGAGGATTGCACTGTTGTTAAATTTCTCTTCCAAAAGAAGCCATTGAGACTGTTGTGTATGCATTGGAAATTTTGGAGGTGGCAATGATCTGTGGTGTAGTTTTTACAAGTAAAGCAAAACCTGAAAATAATTGATTATTGAATAGCATTGAATAAGCAAAGCATTTCATTGATGTCACAGTATTACAAGGTTAGTTTCATCAAGAAAAATCCATTGTATTAAGCTGATGACCAAATGTACAGCTACAACGATATAGAAAAGTAAGTTGTGCTGTAATTCAGGATGCTTTCCGTGTCAAGGGTGATTAGCAGACCTGTTATGCAAATTACTGTCTTATGAGCACAGTTATAGGAAATTATCTAGATCATATCTGAGTAGTTGCAAACATCATCAGCTGGAAATGCTGTGCTGTTTACTTTAGAAAAGCTGAGGTGAACTTGAAATACCCCATTAGGTTCCTCCAAAGTGTTTATATCTCTCCTTCTATATATAGATATATATGTATGTATATAGATTGCATTATTATTACATCACCCACTTATTCAGCAGTGCTTTTAAAACTCTTGCTTGTCTTCAGATACAGTTGTTTAATGCCTGAAGCGTCATGACTGTGATACTTCCAAAACCCAGGGCTATAGAAAATTAGGAAGCACAAATTCTGGCCAAAAGTCCATCACATGAATTGCGCAGCTCAAGGGCAGAACCTGCTCAGCTATACTGATGTGTTCAAGACCGTGTTAGCAAAAAGCAAGAACATTAAAGCCTTTGTTTTTCTGAGTAATATGAGTAACAATCCTGCAATTTCACTACTTCTCCCTTTTTATTGGAATAGCTCACGGTTTTCTTGTCTAGGTTTAGGTATTTCTTTTCCTTCTAAAAAGAAAAAAAACCTCCTGTTTATCGTTTCTCAAGCTTCTGGCCCTTGAAATTTGAGGAAAAGGTTGCGTGACTTTACTGCCACATGCCTGTTTTATCCTTTTAAACTAATTTAGGTAGTAGCTGTGAAGAAATCTGATGTAAATGCCAAGGCACCTGATGAACTTGTGTCGGTATGTATTAACTAGGAATCATCACTACTTCGGTCATTAATCTATCCTACATGGTTTTTACCATTTGATCTGAAATTTCATGTAATCAGAATGTACGATTTGAGATCATTTAGTTAGAATCAGTTTATCCTTAAATTATTTTCCAAAGACTAAACTTTACTTGCATAAAAACAGTGCCTCCTTGGTTA